TTTGTGAATGAATAAATGTAAAATATAAAATAATTGGTGAATAACGTTAAACGTTACAGGTTCGTTTCTAACTACCTAAAACAAAATAGTGATCGATGTTGGTTATTGATCAGTGCTAATTACTTTCCTTAAGTAATTTAATTTTCGTTTCAGTATTAACGAGTACGAGTAACAAGGGGTGAGACTTTAAAAAAGAAGAATCATTCAGGCGTTTTTGCATTTTCTTGTGTTGGAAGTTTCATTAATAAAATTTATATTAAAAAACGTAATGCTTTATAAATGATTAGCATATAAATGAAATTCACAATGATTGTTTAGCAAGAAATAAAATTTAGTTTGGTTATATCAATGATTGTATTAAAGAAATACGCATTTGCACGTTCTCTTCATGAATTTTAATGTTCTTGAAAAAAAAAAGAAAACCCCTTTAAAAGGAAAAACATTAGAAATCTTTTATAATATACTAAACTCATTTATCATATTTTTTATTTTCGTAAGACAACGAAATAATATGGATTCGAACGAAATTAAAGTGAACGACCATGATGTTGAAGAAAAATATAACGTCGAATCTAAGAACTCCAGCCGTCTTCATAAATTATACGGATAAATAAGTTTCATATTTTTATAAATAAAAAAAAAGCAATATTTTATTTTAAATATGTAATTTATAAATGATTTATCGCACGCGGGCGTGCCACTTCGTTGTAACATTTTCATTATATTATTTACGCCCGATTATGATGATTTTTTCGTACAATTTTATATTAACTTTGACTTTTTCAATTAGAAAGTAAATAAATTATAAATGAGTTTTATATAGAGGTTTTTTATATAGAGAGGTTTTACCATATACGATACGGTTTATTAATAAAAGATTTACTGACGCGTTTGTCCAAATTTAATTTAATTTCATTTCATTTCATTTCATTTCATTTAGTGTTAAGTAGAAGGTACAAATAATACTAATGAAAAAAAAACAATAATTGTTTGTGGTGAAAAACGCGTCAAAGAATGAATATAAGCAGTGTTAAATCAGTCATACGAATAAATTTTGGGTTTAAATGGGTTTATTGAAATACGTGGATCGTATCGGTGAAAGGTGAGAGGTTATATATTTGCAAAACAAGACACGTACACGAGTACCCAGCATAATAATTCGGTTACTAATCCCTTACGATGAACATCTTAGACAGTCTTGGTATACGATTTTAACGTCATTAACAAACAAATTACGCCAAGGTATCTACTAGAAGCTAGTATACGAATAACGCATCTTCAATGTAACACACTAATGTAAGTTACGCTCGAGAAACCTTGGTGAAATCTTGGTCCACATATTCTTGCTTTTTTTTCTTTTTCTTCTTCCTTTGTTTTAATTATTCTTAGAGTATAACTTTGATTAACAGGAAGGAAACGTGTATTCGTAGCGATCACCGTAACGAACACTGATCTCTTTTCATATACGTATAAATATGTATATAAGTTTTGTATATATATATTGTATTTATGTAAGTACATTTTGCATGTTGAATAAATTTTTATAATAAGAGAAAGATTGATCAATTTAATTGTTTATTTTTACGATGATAAAGTTGTCCTTTGTATCCTACTAGTACTTTTCAATTTTATTATTATTTTTTTTGTTTTTTTAGATTCGTTTTATATTAACCGACATTAATTCGATTCAATGTTAATTAGAATTTCTTTTCTTTTTTTAAATCGTTTCAATTAAAAAAATTATTCGTCGTATTGGCGTATCGTATTACAAAAAAAAAAAAAACGTCTATCGATCGTTTGCGTTTTCGTATATCGTAATATGTATTCGTTAAATTTCTTCCACCATTGTAACTTCAAAACCGAAAAACATTTTACCTTAGTCCCTAAAACGTGTTCTCTAAATTTCTAATAGAGTCGTGCGAAAACTCGGAATTCGCAATTTATATCGGGGTAGAAAATTTGCGGAATGGTATATACTTCAACTAACTTTATAGTACCACTTGAAAAAGCATGTTGCTCGGAAAAATTTCCAACACAGGTGTGTAAGCTCAATATCGAGTACACTAATAACGATTAAAGTACGATGAACGTAGAACAACTAAAATTTAACTATTTAATTATCAATAAAAAAAAAAGTCGACACAAATTATTCCAAGCAAATAATATTATAAAAAAATACGAGATTATATTATTAAATTATATAAATTCTTAATTATCTTAAATCTTTTTTGAAAACCCATTAAATCGATTAAAATAAAAACTCAACGAAATGTTCCAATTACCTTCGTATTCGTTTAAAAATATCTTCATGAAATAATATGACCGAATTGGATTGTATTATTTAAAATTAAAAAAAAAAAAAAAACCCCGCTAAATTAAA